TTTAAGGGGCCAGCAGGGAAACGGTGCGCTCGTGGATACCACAAGTGCTACAAACGTGGTTGCTTCAGGCCCAAGCCTTATTACCTTTGCAACCATACGGACTGAATCCCTGCGGCAACAGTGCAAACGGCGGCAACAGTACAGAATTCAGATCCACCTTTATTTGTGGAGATTTTTGCGGGGCGAGGGTCCCTTTCACGTGCAATGAAGCAGTCAGGTTTTTCAGTTTTGAGCATTGACCATGAAAGTGAGGGCGCATTGGTTCCTATGGTCACTTTGGACCTTACTTCATCAAGTGGCCAACAGATCTTATGGGACGTGTTGGCGTCCCCAAGTCTTCTTGGAGTTCACATGGGGCTCCCATGTGGAACCGCTAGCCTGGCAAGGGAAAAACCCGTGTCAGCAACCTTGCAAGCTCAGGGTGCACCAAACCCTCCGCCGTTGAGATCGGCGACACACCCGTTGGGGCTGCCTGGGCTCAGCCCATACCACCAGGCCAAAGTTACAAGTGCCAACATATTGTATGCCCTTGCAGTCGACATTTTGGTGTTTTGCGTGGACAACAACATTGTGATAAGTATCGAAAACCCAGCAAACAGCTGGCTTTGGGCGGCCTTGGTCAAATTGACCACACAGCATTCTGAGCGTGCTGCAAAAGCGTTCAACTGGCTGGAAAAAGTCATTTTTCATGCATGCTGCCATGGTTCAACACGAAGGAAAGCCACTGGATGGTTAGGAACACCTACTGTGTATTCATGCCTGGCAGAGACCTGCCAAAACGATCATGATCATGAACCTTGGGGGATCCGTTGGAATGCAGGGTCCTGGATTTTTGATACATCGGCTGAAGCTGCCTACCCGATGCTTTTAGCCCAAAGAGTTGCGGCATGCATGGTCAAGGTAGCCCATGCACGAAAGTTGTCTCTCCAGCCTCCTTTGCGCATCCATGATCTTTCAACTGCAGCGTTGGGAAAACAATCCAAAAAGCATCCGCCTCTTATCCCAGAGTACCATCACTTTGTCAATCAAAAACCAGGCACACCAATTGCACCTGGCTCCAAAGCCCTGGCTCCTCATTTAGGGGGTGAAAGCCGGGAGGAGCCTGAACTGACAGAGATGAGTGGAAAGTATACAAAGGTGGGTGTTTACCATACGCCAAAGCAGTTTTTGAGCCGTGCTTCAGCGGTTTGCCACCCCATGGACACCACTGATCACCTGGAAAAGGTGACAAGCTTTGCACTAGAATGCAACCTTAAATATCCAGCAGAACTAGTCAGGGTGGAGCGCAAAAAGAACTTGCTCATGGCTAGGTTGATGGTTGCAAAAACACAGCAGCAGGAAAAGCGCCTTCATGAATCACTTCCTGAATCCTTGCAAAAAGTTTTGGAGGGAAAGCGTCTTCTGGTTTGGAAACAGTTGCTGGAGAAGTTTGAATTTGACGACATGGAGGTATACAACTTCATGACTGAGGGCGTGAGGCTAGTGGGCCAACATGGGACTCCAGCGTGTTTTCCTGAGAAGCTGAAGCCCGCTAGTCTTACCCAGCAAGACCTTGAGAATTCTGCTGTTTGGAGAAGGCGTGCCATTGTGGGTAAAACTCAGAAACCAGGAGGACCCCTCTCACATCGAGCACCTTGAGCAAACGGCAGCAGAAGAATTGGAGATGGGCTTCGTGGAGGGGCCTTTCGTGTCAGAACAAGAAGTAACCGATTACTTTGGCCATGGAAACTGGATGGTCATCAGGCGATTTGTCCTGGTTCAGGGTGCCGAGCTTAAACTGCGCCCCATCGATGACTGCCTTGAGGCCCAATTGAACAAAGGCTTTACGTCGACGTCCTACCTGAAGCTCCAGGACATTGACTATGTGGTGGGCCTTTCGTTGAAAATTGCAGAGGCGGTGATGTCGGGGGGACAGCGACATGGGTCTGGAAATTGGCAGGGCAAATGCTTAGACCTGAGCAAAGCATATAAGCAACTTGCCGTTCATCCGAGCCACCGACACCTTGCAGTCATTTTCTACCATGATGCCCAGAACCAGCCAAAGTTCTACATTGCCAATGCCCTGATGTTTGGATCGACGGCAGCGGTCTATTCATTCAACAGGGTGTCTCGAAGCTTGTGGTTTCTTTTCAACAAGATGCTGCTGATCCCATGTGGATATTTTTATGATGATTATCCAATGTTCAGCCCCACGGAATTAGCCGAAGATGCTGATGGTTGTGCGAGCGAGCTGCTTGACATTCTTGGCTGGCGTCATGCTCGCACCGGACCCAAGGGCCAACCCTTTGCAAATGCATTCAATGTCCTAGGGTGCACCTTGGACTTGACTCACTTGGCTGGTGGGCAGATTGTCACCGAGAACAAACCGGGTAGAGTCAATCGTTTGGTGGAACACTTTGCACGCATCCGTGCGAATGGAAAGATGAGCCTCCATGAAGCGCAGGTGCTCCACGGCCTCTTGCGCTATGCCTGCGGCTTCTTTGCAGGAAGGTTTCTGCATCAGGTGTGCGCTGAAATCATGAATTTCGGCACCCGTGGCATACATGGCCAAACCTCCAAGCTTGCTGACTTCTGCGATTACGCAGTGGATGTCTTGCGCAAGAGTGTCCCTCGCAGCCTCAAAGTCTTTGCTGAGCGGAGGCCCATTCTTGTATTCACTGATGGTGCTTGGGAGGATGGAGAAGCAGGAATTGGGGCTGTCATACTTGACACGGCCAGTGGTTCCAAATGGGTGCTTTCTGACAAGGTCCCAAACTCTTTGATCGACGCCTGGCGTCACCTAGTCGGAGAACAATTAATCTGCCAGATTGAACTATATGCAATGGTTGCAGTCAGATGGATGTATAAAGACCTGATGAGAGATCGAAGAACCCTGTGGTGGGTAGACAATGAGGCTGCCCGTTTCAGCACGATACGGGGACTTAGCCCAAGTGTGACTATGAGAACCTTGGTGCGTGAGTTTTACAATCTCGATCTTAGCCATCCAATGTTCAGCTGGATTGAGCGAGTTCCTTCATACTCGAACCCAGCCGATGGACCATCCAGGTCTTCTCCAGAAGAGATCATGGCCTTGCTTGGTGTTAACACATGCAGCCCTTTTCTACATGAGCCCGAACTCCTTGCCAAACTCTGCAAAAACTAGCTGGTCATTTGAAGGGGTATTTTGCCGACCAGCTGGAATGCTGCAGACAAATCCAATGTGCAGTAACCAGAATGGCGGTGCTACCGAAAAACCTTGATACCGATTTTCGGAACATCCTCACCAAGGATTTTTCCCCAGACCTCTTGCGTTGGCAAGTATGTGGTCTCAAAAAGTGGTGCGTGTGCGTTTCATCATGTCAGTGAAGCCGTTGCTGAAATTTTCAGACATGTCAATTCACTTCCGTTTTGCAGTTTTTAATTTTCGATGTGCATTTTCTCCACGGAAGCAGAACCGTTTTTGAGAAGAAGTTTTGACGGAGCGAAATCAACGAGATCGTTTGGCGATGTGTTCCGATATTTAATTTGAAGGGTTCGGCGGTTGTGCAACGTTTGGGTTTGTGGCCATGAGTGTTTTGGGTAGCATTTTTACGTGGCAGAGGGGTCAGGGTTACACATAAGGGTTAAGGGGTAAACAGACTTTTGTACTTGACAGGAGAAGGGAATTTCTGCTTGCAGACAATACTTTCTCTCTGGCGTACTAAACAGGGCTACACTGTAGCCCGGTCTGTTTTCCTCCCCTTATCCTTCTCTGCGTATGCGCCCCTCTGCCCACGCGTTCGCTACGCCAAATGCATGTGCGCGAAACCTGCTCAACCAACAAACCTTGTTTCAAACAATCACCTGTGATTTTTTAAAATTTTTGATTTTTCGATGTCACAACCACAAAGACTCGAAAAACAACTCTGACTAAACTGTCCTGTTTGTCAATCTTCTTTGTTTGGTTTATTTCTGAATCCGATCAGTAAACCAAACTTCACTGCTGTCAATTCGTTGAGTGTGACAAATCTGAATTGTTTAAAACCTTGAGGATCTATTGTGCGGTAGCAACCTGGATCAAGGGTTAGGTGGGTGGGTTTCCATTAAAATTTTGGAAAACCGCGAAATTTGTCCCACCCAAATTTCTCCCCGGGGTATTTTGCCGACCAGCTGGAATGCTGCAGACAAATCCAATGTGCAGTAACCAGAATGGCGGTGCTACCGAAAAACCTTGATACCGATTTTCGGAACATCCTCACCAAGGATTTTTCCCCAGACCTCTTGCGTTGGCAAGTATGTGGTCTCAAAAAGTGGTGCGTGTGCGTTTCATCATGTCAGTGAAGCCGTTGCTGAAATTTTCAGACATGTCAATTCACTTCCGTTTTGCAGTTTTTAATTTTCGATGTGCATTTTCTCCACGGAAGCAGAACCGTTTTTGAGAAGAAGTTTTGACGGAGCGAAATCAACGAGATCGTTTGGCGATGTGTTCCGATATTTAATTTGAAGGGTTCGGCGGTTGTGCAACGTTTGGGTTTGTGGCCATGAGTGTTTTGGGTAGCATTTTTACGTGGCAGAGGGGTCAGGGTTACACATAAGGGTTAAGGGGTAAACAGACTTTTGTACTTGACAGGAGAAATTACTTATATATATATGTTGAACAAATACGTGAATAACAATAGTGTGTATATATATATGTGTTGAGTGTATATCTGTTGATGTATGTATACATAAAAGTGTTAATATACAAATACTGTTTATATACATATGGGGCTTGAATCCCAGGCCCTCCACATGAAGGGTATCAGCAATCATTTTCTCTCTACCCCGCAAAGTTCTGGACTTGCAACAAATTTCCACATATGGATCATCTTAGTGGTTGTGCAACGAATTGCCCGCACATCTTGATGGGCCCACGAGCACATTGCTCGTGGGAAAACGTGGTGTGCCACCTAATTGGCATCAATTAGACATTGTTAAACATTGGTGACCAAGAGATATTCTAATGAATGTTTGTCAATGAAATGCCCCAGATGCACACCAACCTAGTGAGACAAGAAGTTGATGACACTCTCAAGCTGGGCCCCTTTGGTCCAGGCCGAATTGACACGCTTGCGGGTGTCTGCCTTGTTTGCAGACAGCTGGGAAGCCCGGGCAAAGCTTCGTGCCATCTTGCCGTGGGACTTTAGGACACGTGTGCGACACTTTGCCATCCCTTGGCCAAACCTTGGATAAGCAAGCTGGATTTGTCAAGTGGATTTGATCTTGGAATTGTTTGAAGGGCTACTATCATACCCAACTAATTTTTGAGGAACCACAGATTTGGTACTTGGCCCGATGTCTCCCTGAAAAGTTGTGGGGTATCCAATGGGTTGCTACCATTCTAATGCATACCAACACTACTGTATTGGAGTAGAAGATTTCCAAATAAATCTATTGTACCCAGGAACCCTCGTGGATAGGCTTGGCTTGATTTTAAATCTTTGCCACCACAAATCCTGTGTTCACCTTTTTGGTTGGTGTAGTGGCGAACCATTTCACGCTCAACAAGTCGACGGGCTGTCTTGTAGCTAGGGAGGTCGTCGATAGCCCTGTGACCTGACAAAAAGGCCCCTTCTAATTTTCCTGCTGGTTTGGCACCCCAAAATCTGACCCCCACAACTCTACCCTCAGTAACCTTTTTCCTACAGGTTTGCTACATGTTTAGTTGGTTGTGGGGGTCAGATTTTGGGGTGCCGAACTAATAGGAAAATTGTTAGAGGCCCCCACGAGAGTACCCAGAGTTTCCAGGTTTAGTGAAACAGTTAAAGATCCTCGATATGTTACTTGATTTACCCACTATAACAAAGGGCATTGCTTCTTGGTTTGAGCTATTGGATTAACTTAAAAATAAATACAGGTGACTCTAAACTTCATCAGCAAGAAACTGCTGTAGAGAATCGTGGGCTTGGCCGTGGCAGATCCAAAATCAGCCATTCTTATTGTCAGTTTTCTCAAGGGTATTCGACGAATGAACCTCTGAAAAAGACAATGAAGCTCCATGAGAGATGAAGATGGTTGTTCCAAAACAAACCATACAGATTGGGCGGCACACAGCCACAATATCACCAGTGTTCGGGCACATAGGAGGTTTCCAAGTCTTGTTGATTTACAAGTCAAGTCCCCCATCGGCCGACTCCTTGATCTTCCAGTCGAACCTCTTGACCTGAACATAAGCGAGCAATGGATTATAGGGGGATATAAACTGAGATTTTCAAGAACCCCCATACTCTACCTTTTCAAATCCGACCATGATTTTCCAGGTGTGGCTTCAGACTTGTCTGGGCGCTCAACTATTGGAAGTGGCTCATGGGGAAGTAAACCCGATTTCCAACCAGTGGCCTACATGTTTGTTTTTAACCATCTGTTGTCTGTTTTTGCTGCGAAACAAAACATGGGGTCTGAACAAAATTCGGACGGTCAGACGGCTGGATTTTGACTTGGTCACGACTAGCGCGTGTATACATATTGATAAACATATTTACGTATGTATGCATGCTTGTTCTGTATTATGTGACAAGCGAATGAATTTTGAATGGACAACTAATTTCATCACGACAGGGTTCAAATACGCAACAATGAATGTGCATGCATGCATGTATATTTAAATAAAGATCAACAAATATAATGAATATGTGTGTGAATATATATTACAATATGTATACACATGCAAATTAGTACACACACATATGTTTGTATGTATATATATATGTATATGTGTGAATATAACAAAAAGTATATGTTTTGTCTAGATATGTAAAGATATGTATCAATATGCATACATATGTGAATATGTGTAGATATATGCAGATATATATATATGTATATGGCTTTCTATATATGTATATGTATATATATATTTAATGGTATGTATTTCAATGTGGGTATAATATATATTTATAGATATATATATATATATATACACAAAAGTACATACCTAAAGCTTTGTGAGCCAAGCTGCATAAACACCCATGACCCACATACAGGGGCTGCCAATGCTGCTGCACCTGGCTTCAAATTTGCAGCCTGGTACAGGCTATTGGCGAAGCCTATGTCCGTCGTCATGTCCATCTTGTCGCCGCCAATTTCCAGGTCCATTCCGATGGCTTTTCGGCCAGCTTGTGGTGTCTTCAAAATGGGTATGGCTTAGAATATAAAGGAACCACACCTTTGTTTGATTTGTGCAAGTGGGGGATGCCCAAAACTTTTGAGAATGGTGATGACCCAGAATGTTAAATGCTAATTTTCCAATTGGGTTGGACACCCAAAAATCCCCCCACAAGTCCCAAATTCTTTCAAAAAATGAAGGGGAAACCTTGTTTTTGGGTGACTTGTGGAGGGTTTTTTGGTTAACCAACCCAAGTGGCAATTTACCAATGTTAAACCCAAACCTTCTTGATTACTTGTAATCGGGTGAAATATGTTGATGGCACTGCCCCTACACCTATTGGTAAATACCCGCTTGGGACTGGGAATGGGCATGCCTTGATATGATCTGATGGGGATGCTTTGATATGGTAAAGATTAGACTGATTAGACACTGGGAATCTGAAGTGTTTTGGATTTGGTCCAAGAATGATTTTATATTTTAAAGGTGCCCCTTAAGTTTGAAGAAACACCAGTCCTCCAATTCTGCCATGGTGACCTCTCCCTTCCCGCAAAAGAGCTCCAGGTGGTCTGTTGGATTCGACCAGTCAAGGCCAGGGATCGCAAAGAGCAGGGTCACCAATGTGCAAATCACCTTGCTGAAATTGACATTGGGGGTTCTAAATTGACATTGGGGGTTCTTGACATCACTTTAGCTGTAGTTCTGGAATCCAATTTTGCATTTTTGCAAAAGGAATTACATCCCCTGGGATGAAATTTCATTTCATTGAAGATTGCTGTTCATAACTATTGGCATCTACATCCCTTTAGATGACTTTACTCAAATTGGCATCCAAACCCACCCCCTTTGGATAGTGCAAGTTTTGGGACCTGTTTTTCTCACCAATTGTCAAAACAATTGGCACCTACAAATTGTATCTTCCTCTTCGCTTGGGCTGAAACACGGACCCTAGGAAGTCCTAGTGATTGTGGTCAAAATTGAGGAATTAAGACATCTTTTGGTGACTTGGTGGGGTCCATGTTCGCAGGAAAATTGCTACCTACAAATCTTTGTTTGGGTACCAATGTATATTTTTGGGGCTTCTTATGAATTATATTCCTGTGAGCTACCCTATTCCACCTTTTTACCAACTTCAGACCAAAGATGGAATGCATTCAGGCAGGACACTACCGGCGCACGAAGATGGTTGAGGCCGGCCAGTATGGATGCTAGCTTCCGCTGGCGGTGGTCTCTAGGAGATGGCGACAAGGGGACATCATGGGAAAATGCCATCAAGTCCTTTGACTTTTTGACGCCCTTTCGGGCCTCTCTACGAGTGACACCACCTGTCTTTGTCATAACAACACACCTTCTAAAAGGGGCAGGTGCTTCTTGAACCCAAAATCCCTACAACGATTCCTAAATGAATGCGGGAATGGGATGTGCAACTTGGATGGTTCTGTTTCCACCGCCTTCATGTTATTTGTCTCTACATACCCCTCTTTACATACCATAGTGTGAACACTCGCAAATGGGTAGACGTTCCCTGTCCATTCCGGTTCTGTCCTCCACTGTTGAATGCAGCCCACGCAGTTTGCACTGTACCTGGAACATCAGGCAGTCCAAGTAAATGTTTTGGAACATGCTAGGGTTGAGTCAACATGGGTTCAGATCATCGGGAAGTTCATGGTAAATGCCCTAATTCAACATCATTGACCTATTGGGACATGATTTCCCCACAAGTGAAACTACCAACCCCTGACGATCAAACTTTTTTTGTCCAAGAGCCGCCATCATACCAGATATAGAAAGGCCGCCAATCCATTTCAGGATGCTACAAATGATTCCACTTGTAATTGTGTCTATTGACACTGAACCCACTGATGTACTGACTAGTCTTGCAGCAGCTACAGTGGTCAACACCCCAAAACCACAAAATCAGGCCATGCGCCTGCTACGTCGGACATCGCACATGGAAATCAAACACAGGTCTTGCGTGATGGGAAAGGTTTTGAAGATAAGTCATAAGTCCCACATCGAATCACAATCACAGGCCACCAATGGCCACCAAGCAACATCCAAACAGCAACCTATGCGCATACCCCAAAGAGATCCTACGGGCTCAGCGCAGACTCAATACCAGCCCGCTGGCACGCCTCACGCCACGCATTGCGCGGCCCACCAAAACGGCTCCATGTGACTTGGTTACTGGAGGGCTTCTCAACGCCTTCCCGACAACGCTTGATGACATATGCGGCGTTCTTGCACAACACCTCAATTGCCTTAGTTCAGCGAGATAAACTATAAACCCGATATTCGAACTGTTTCAACCCTGTTCTGGTTAACCTCATCTGTTCAAATACATCTTCTGGCTAAGACAATAGATATTGAAACCCAGGGACGCAATCGCCCATATAAACTGTGTAGCTGTGCTTGCCCTTGTACGAGCCATCCACAAAAGGAAGAGCTTCATGAGGAAGATCAGACAAGTCATGTCCGTTGAAAGACTTATCTCGGGCCCTGTCCCCATCGTTGCCATCCGTTGAGTTCTGATCAGTACCCTTGATCTTCCCACTGCACCCCTTGACCTTCCCATTGCACTTCTCCTTCTTCTTCAACTTTGCCATGGCCTTTGCCTTAAATGACTTGGACAGCCACTTTAAACATATGCTTGTGTAAGATGTTGCAAGATGTTTTCGATGACACGCCCATAAGCAAAACTTAGTGATTATAAATACTTATTATCAAACCTTAGTTCCAAATCAATCCAAAGAGTCTGATTGCTGCCCCACAACAGGAGGTGGTGTGATTTCTAACCCCTTCGCAATTTCATCTGCAAGTCGAGGTTTTTTTGGAGCCGGCGTGATGGAGATATCATCCCCTTCCAACCCCCCTGCTGCATCCGACAACTGCATCAGGCCCATTGCATCGCTGAAGCCACTGTTGGCTGCGGGCACCTGGCAGAGAGCATGGGAGCCGTTTCACAGACATGTTGCTGGGGAATCCAACAGTAGGAAACTGTTTCAAAGATATGTTGTTGGGGGGGAACCCAATAGAACTGTTTCAAAGATATGTTGAATTAAAATCCAACAGGCTGGGATTATCTGCAAAAAAGTGTTGTCAAAGAATCCTACAGTGGGAAACTGTTTCAAAGATATGTTGAATTGAAATCCAACAGTGAGATCATCGGCAAAGAGATGTTGTCAGGGACTCCTACAGTGGGAAACTGTTTCAAATATTTAATGTTGGGGATTCCAACAAAGGGGATCCACTGCAAAGAGATGTTGCCGGGAGATCCAACAGTGGGGAACAGTGGCAAAGTTATATGTGTATGAATATCTTATGACTTTTTGTAGATATCAGATACATGTATACATTCAAATATACGTATTCATATTTTATGGAATATGTATATATATATATGTATATATATATATATATAAATTTAAATGTATATGTATTTATATATATATATATGTATGTAAACATATTTATTTATATATATATATGTATATAAATATAAATGTATATATAAATATAAATGTATATGTATATGTATATATATGAATTATCGACCGGCTTTCAATTCTGCACCGACCAAAGGCCGGAATCCTGCCTTCACATCTTCAGGTTTGCGCTTGGGAGGCTTGGCATCCTGCGGTCGGGGCACTGCTTTTTTAAAGAACCTGGATGGATCTTGAAGAAGAGATCTCAATGGGTTGACGCCACAAACATCTACTAACTATACAGGACACTTGACATTTACTTTAGAGGGTCCTGGGACTTCTGCTCAGCCACCCAAGAGTTGAAGTGCCGGTCAGTCTTCAATGTGGCGAAGACGTACTTGTCATAGGTGTTGAGGGACTCACGGCAATGCTCCAAGTAGTCAGTCATCAAAGGATGCCTCAGAAACGGATTCGTTTAAATTGCATGTTAGCTGTTAGCATGGGGATTAAATTCAAAGGGCACATGACATGTGTATGTTTGGAAGAAAGCTGCGTAATTTCGGGACCCAGATAGATAAGTAAACAACTATGCAAATGAGCTACTCACCATGTTCACGGCAGCCATTCAGTGAATCTCGGATATGTTTCAGCATGGCATCTTGGTCCCCTTCCTCAACACATTTCGGTAAGTTTGGATCAGAGCTCTCCTCTTTGCCGAAACGGCCATACTGGGAGTAGAACCTACCGAGCCAACTGGAGCTGACTTGGCTATCGCGCCAATCAATCCCATCATCACTGGAAATGGCTTGGGTCTCCTCCTTGCCATGGTCATCTCCATTGGGTTCACCAGATTCACCATCACTGGATTCACTGGCATGATCACCATCGGAACCACAGTCACTCAGTCGAAGGGTACGGGCTACCAGGGAATCATCATCACTGCTCCCCGCATGGTCACCTTTGTTTTCCTCAGAAGCACCGGAGTCAACCCGAACTACCTGCTGGATTTGCCTCCCCGTAGGATGAACCTCATGTTCACTGGATTCACTCTCACCACCGCTGTCATCCCTTTCATCACCAGACCCTGAAGATTCCTCATGGTCCTCATGGTCCACCCCCACGCCGACATTGGCAGGTTCATCACCTTCGCTGCACCCGTCATTGGTGCCCGAGTCTTCAGCATCAGGCAGGGGGAGGGAATCCCGGTTGCGCTGTTGCTGAGGGGATTCAACCAACAACTCCTTCATATGCTGGACCCGTGGGCAATGCGAGTTGTCCTTGGCATTCCTCCAAAGGTGCCTCAATGCCTGTAGGCAACGTTTGGTTTTCACTGCCTCCTCCGCTGCCAAAGAAGATCTCGTTTCAAATTTGGCAGCATCGGGGTGGAAAAGTTTTTTCTGGAACAGGGCATCAAGGTAGACAAACACGTCAGCGATGAAAAAACCACTTGGTATCTGCCAGGGCCAAGTTTGGATCCCATACCAGTAGTCACTGTTTTCCCATACTTGTTTCTAATGGTGACCCTTTCCACCTAAGAAATTGAAATATAACCCTATAGAAGTAATGGTGTGATATTGAACCTAGCCATTCCCAAGAAATTGAAATACCACCCGATAGAAATCTATAGAAGTAATGGTGTGATATTGAACCTAGCCATTCCCAAGAAATTGAAATACCACCCGATAGAAATCTATAGAAGTTATGGTGTGATATTGAACCTAGCCATTCCCAAGAAATTGAAATACCACCCGATAGAAATCTATAGAAGTTATGGTGTGATATTGAACCTATCCAGTTTTGACGATCCATACAACCAGTACATTAGCAGGACAAGAACTAAGTTTTGAACCATATGGCCTTCCATGGAAAGTACTTGACAAATGGCATGAGCCACACGTAGTTCTTGCCTAACATGGTTGCAGGTGGGTGACCCATAGCCCCATGTAGAACCACCAATGGTCCACCCTTCCAAGCATCATCAGTGATCACCGCCACGACGTCCAACGGCAAGTTGGCTTTCATGTCACGGGCAACTTCATCCTGATGTTTTTGTATGTGCAGGTTCCCATGGTTCCCGCCCAAATAAAATACAAATCCATGATGTGTAATTTTTAAATGAATTTGGCTCATAATTTCATCTTTTCTGGAAATACAAAATGTAAAGAAATGGAATACATGAGATGTGAGATGTATGTGATTTTGTATCAACCCTTCATCGCTTTTCCATGCAAAGGTCCCCCAACATAAAACATCTTCTTGTGACAATCGAGAATCCACATTTTCTTGGGTCCACCCAATTTGTCGACCCGGTCGTGTGGATCTCCAGTTTGGCAACAACCTGTCACCAGCAACCTCAGCCAATGCCATAGGTGGTGCTGCCATTGCCGGCTGTTCTGAGCGGCAACGTGCGCCAAAAAAACTGGTGCCCAAAAGGCTTCAGTTGACTGCAGGGTGAGGTGATTGGAAAAGCGCAGCAGCATGCTGCAAACTGCAAACTCTTTAGCAATGGGTTTGAATACAGGACTTCCTCAATGGATGGTTTTAGTAGAATGGTTCTCATAAGTGTTGCACAGGCGAGAATTGAACTGGATCGTGAAGGGATGATGAACCGATGAACCACTGAAACATCTATATCATACCCCCGGCGTATTCATGGGCTGGACCCCTAATCACCACAGCCTCCCAAAGGGCACTGGCTATTCATGGATGGCATCTGCGTGCTTCCATCACCCGCGGCACCGTGTCAGAGTGGCTCACCTTGTGAAAATACAATTTTCTGAAAACTGTTAAGATTGTTGAACATAAATTTAAAAGGTTACTATGAGTACCAAATTGATTTTCAACATAACCACTGCAATGTAGGTGTTTGACATGGGGATAGATACCTGTATGCATTTAAACATATGAAATTTTACCATGTATATGTATGAACAGAATTATGTTTTGGATATGTGTTCATATAGTGTACATGTTTACAGTTGCACCTCAAGATCATTCCCGGTTTTTGAAACGTTAACCAATGTGGAAACTGTGATATGCAGCCACAATGCGGAAACTTTCATTCGGCGGCGACTGAAGGACGAGCGAAAAAAAAACGCATTGCGGTAAATCGGTTTCTTCAACAAACAGGGTTCGCATATGTTCGCATCAAAAATTGAATTCCTTATCAACATGGTCCGTCCGTAGTGAACATGTGGTTACGTTTGGTCACTTGTTTTTTTGGGATATTGGGACAGTCATTCATCCCACTTGATGCGAAAAGATGCAAAGGGTTCAGCACAACCCACCTCAAAGAACCCACCATGGTCAAACCAGAATGTATACATATATATATATATATGGGTATATATATACATATGATAAATAGTTTTGAACATAGGTAGATTGATTACATTAGTTAGATAGATAGGTAGGTAGATAGATAGATAGCTAGATAGATAGATAGATAGACGGATACAAAACTAAGTAGATAGATACAATATATATATATATGTAAATAAACATATATATGTATATATATATGTATATATATATGTGTGTATATGTATATGCGCACAAGTAGTGCCCGGGCAAGCCCGGGGCGGAAGTTTCAAACATGAAAGCTCTACAGGGTGTGGGCAAGCCTTCTGTGCTATTAAAAGGTTCAAAGATGGACAGCGAACCACGTCATCAAAACATGGTCTCCCCCATGGTGTGAAAGATGCCAGGCACCAAAACATGAATCACCTCCTATGCTGCTCTGCAGCTGCAAGGGTTCCTTGTGACAGCTGAGTTTTCATTTTCTTACCCAGTGTGGGCCTTGTGTGACCTGTGCAGGAACTTCAGGCACCTGCTGTACATATGACAAGAAACCTTGCACGTACATTTTGTGTTTGTGCACCACCCCCTAAGGCACCAGCATATAGATACGCATGTGTCAAGCATGCCAAAAACAAAGTAGAACTATATCAACAAATTAAGGCTAACGATGCCTTCAGCAGAAACGATGTCCAAAGTGAGTCTTTGGATCCTCTAGGCTGTCGGGAACCCAGAAAAGGGGAGAGGAAAGGGCCCATCTCAACGCCCAATCTTTGAACGAGCCATTGACTGCTGGCATTGCGGCCAATATGGCCACAAATCTTTTGAATGCCCAAACCGCCAACAGCGTTATGGCTGGAACTGGTGGGGAGAGTATTCAAGCCGCTCGGAAGGGCAGGCCGGATGGAATCAATCTCAGTGGAAAAGGAACTATGGATATCAGACACAGGTCGATGATTGGGGACGCTCAGGCGCATCAAGCTCCAGTGCACGACCTGCTGAGCCACCATACCCTCCTCCTCGTGCTGCCCGAGCAGCTGATTCACCAGCGCCGAAGACCCCTCCCAAGTCAAAGGCGGCTTCGAGCTCTTCAACTGCAGTCAGTGGAGTTGTCCCCGACAACCCCTTGGATCGTGAGATTGCCAGGCGCAGGGCGATGGGAAAGCACATCTTGAGCGAGGTCTACGTCGAGATTGGTGGGGTCCCGCATATCAAGCGCACCTTTGCCGACGACACGGTTGAGTATGAGTCGTTCTAGGTATTTCACCTTTAGCAGCGATCTATGCCTACCGGAAGGTTTGGCCGATTGGATGATATGAATCATGATCAATGATCTTTCATTCCAATCGATGTGCACTAATCCCAAAGTTGAAAACTTGAACATTCCAAACTTTTGCTAATTGATTTCAATGCCTTGACACCAGCATCCGATCCAGACATTTGCGCGTGTACAATAGCCGTGTAGATTAGCCTGATACAGTAGCTTCCATATTTCCTTGGCTTTGAATGGAGTGGTATTGCTCCAATGCCTTGGCGGAAGCCAGGCCAATTTCCATTTTTGCTATGTTCAAGCACGTGCCATGCCTGGAGTCTTCAAAATAAGCTTTTGCCTCATGCATCCGTTGAGCTATAACCACATGCATCCGGTAACTAGTGTAGTTGTACAGTGATGTCTTTGTTTCGAATGCCCGATCTCAGGTCACCTCTGTCGGGCTACGGGGACCTTCCGCTCTCCGTAAAGACTGCGGGGCGGCGGGGGGTGTTTATTGTATATATATATCTCACTGTACATATGTGTTTCACTATGTCTACCGTGTTGCAATGGCTCAAGAAAACAAGCGCTAGCTGTTGTACGTTAGTGGCTGTTCAATCTGTCAAACAAAATATATTACTGTATGTATATATATTTTTTTATAATGTTGCATGCTGATTAGTGGACTGACTCGGTAATGTTGATTTCTTTTGAAATTATTCAGAGTCAGGGAAATTGTTTGAGTGACTCGGTTTAGTTGAAAAAAATGATAAATTTTTTCATTTTGTTCATGTTTCATTTTTTGAAATATTTTTCTATTTTTCATTTTTTTCTAAAATTTAATAGTTATTTATTTGTTTATTTTTATAATTATGTATTTCATTATTTATTTTACAATTATTTTTTAAATGTAGGTGATCCTGAATTGTGTCCAAACAATGTGTAAATGTAAATGTGTTTGTTTAATTGATTTTTAATTTATTTTTAATTATGATCAATGTTGATTTAAAAAATAAAAATGCCTTCCACAGGAAATTACATGCTGATTCTCAATAGTATGTTTGTTTGGGTGGTTCACTATTGTGTCCAGCTGTTTTTTGGATGTAAAAAAATCAAACTTATTATATCATTTCCTTTTCCTTTTCTTTGTTAATATGTTTCTCTTTTTTTACTTTCTTAGTTTCTTTCAATTTGAAATCTCAGAAATGCCCAATTTCCCAAAATATATGATGCCTTATTAAAACCCCATTAAAAAACAACACTCAAACAATTTTTCAAGAGGGTACTCCATGAGCAACCCTGATTCTCAATAGTGTGTTTGTTTGGGTGGTTCACTATTGTGTCCAGCTGTTTTTTGGATGTAAAAATATATATATATATATATTATATCATTTCCTGTTCCTTTTCTTTGTTAATATGTTTCTCTTTTTACTTTCTTAGTTTCTTTCAATTTGAAATCTCAGAAATGCCCAATTTCCCAAAATATATGATGCCTTATTAAAACCCCATTAAAAAACAACACTCAAACAATTTTTCAAGAGGGTACTCCATGAGCAACCCTGATTCTCAATAGTGTGTTTGTTTGGGTGGTTCACTATTGTGTCCAGCTGTTTTTTGGATGTAAAAATATATATATATATATATTATATCATTTCCTGTTCCTTTTCTTTGTTAATATGTTTCTCTTTTTACTTTCTTAGTTTCTTTCAATTTGAAATCTCAGAAATGCCCAATTTCCCAAAATATATGATGCCTTATTAAAACCCCATTAAAAAACAACACTCAAACAATTTTTCAAGAGGGTACTCCATGAGCAACCCTGATTCTCAATAGTGTGTTTGTTTGGGTGGTTCACTATTGTGTCCAGCTGTTTTTTGGACGTAAAAAAAAAACAAAATTATTATATCAGTTCCTGTTCCTTTTCTTTGTTAATATGTTTCTCTTTTTTTACTTTGTTAGTTTCTTTCAATTTAAATAAGAGTAAATTAAATAAGAGTAAATTAAAATCAATTGAAAGTAAATTAAAATCAATTGAAAGTCAATTGAAATCAATTAAAAGTAATTTGAAATCAGTTGAAAGTACAATGAAATCAAATGGGAGTAAATTAAAATCAATTGAAAGTAAATTGAAATCAATTAAAAAAGAATTAAAATCAATTGAAAGTAAATTCAAATCAATTGAAAGTCAATTGAAATCAATTAAAAGTAAACTAGCACAATGAAATCAAATAGGATAAATTTAAATCAATTGAAAGTCAATTGAAATCAACTAAAAATCAATTGAAAGTAATTTCAAATTAATTGAAAGTCAATTGAAATCAATTAAAAGTAATTTGAAATCAGTTGAAAGTAATTCAAATCAATTGAAAGTAAATTAAAAGCAATTGAAAGTAAATTAAAATCAATTAAAAGTAAATTAAAATCAATTGAAAGTAAATTAAAATCCATTAAACGTAAATT